AAAAAAAAAAAAAAAAAGATAAAGCCAACTTAAATTTGTTATGGTGGCCTATTTAATTAATTCTGAATACTGAATTTCCATTAATAACACACACACATATAATTTTGTTGAGAATATTCAGTTCTAACCTGTACTTCACTTTTTCTTAGCCAAAAGGCCAAGAAGCTAACCTGTACTTCTTAATTAAGATTTTGCCACATTATCTGCCATGTGAATTGTCTTTTACTCATGCTGGTTGTGAGCCTGGGGCCTCCTGAAGCATACAAAACTGCTGGAAGTTCCACAGCATATGAAGGTGGGAAGGTCCATAGCATGCTGTGCTATGAACCTCTGCTTGTTTTCTCTGTCAATCTGCATGTCTCTCCCACCTCTCCTCACTCTGCTCCAGTCAGCCTGTGCATGCCACATGTGCCACACATGCTGGACTGTGTTCTCCCATTACCATGACTTCCCACTGCACATTTCCCCTTGAATGTCTGACTAGTAGATCTTTGAATGAAACTGATTGGAGAATATGCTGCAAGGAACCTTGCTGCACATACCTAGGAGGTATGATTCAGAGGGCCCAGGACCACCCAAGCTCCACTTTAGACACTAAGACTCAATTCTCAGAAACAAATTCAATAATTATGTCATAAGCTACATACAATTTATGTGGCATGCGGTGTAAAAATTGATTCTAGTGCTGCATGAGTTGCATATAATGCACAGAAAATAACAAAATTTTCATTCAATTAGAAATGATAATTTTATTTTTGAAGTTTTACTCTGTTTTCGTAATAAAACATGGTGGCCCCAAGGCGACAATTTTTTTTCTAGTGGAGCAGTCACTGTGTTAATAGAATCAGAATTATCATTAGCAAGATTCATACACTAAATATAACAATTTTCAACATACTATCTACCTTTCGAAAGATGAAGACTGTACTGCTGAGCTTTCAGGAAACCTGCCCCTCTCTCGGTGATCAAAGTCATTAAATCTATTCTGTTGGCGAGAGTAGTCAGATCCGTGGCTGAATCGTGCATCTGTATCTAGAGACAACTTTTTATTCTCGCTCCAGTAAGGATCATCTCGCCTTGAAGAGAAATATTTGCTCATTTATATAAATTAGTTTTACAATAATCAAACAATACTTACTTGGAGTCATACATACCACGTTAGAACTGTGAATACAAGAGGGCTAACAAACTCAAGACACGACACATTCGGTTAGGAGTATAAGCTAGCAAAGAATTGATTATTAAATTAAGTAAAGTCATGTTGTGTTAGAGGAATTTAACAAGAGAGAAAAGTAGTTGAAAAACCACCTGTTTCAAAATTATTACATGGGAAAGACAAGTAAGATAAGATACTCAAAACTATTTTACTAAAAATTCTAATCACCAGTCTACAACCTCTTTAGTTACCCTCAATTTTAGAAAAGGTCAGAGAGTGAAGTTCTAAGCACAAATCATTTATTCCATTTACTTTTCCACAAAATCAATTCAATCTCATAAAAAAATCAAATGGGTACACACAGTGGACATAAAATTTATAATTTAAATAGCAAACTACTTTAAATTGCACATAAACTTTACATCCATCCAGCAATTTAGTTTGCTATTTAAATTACACACAAATTTTATGTCCACCCTGTATTTATATTTTTA